ACTGATTTACTGATACAATTTTTTTTAATTTCGCGCATGCGCGTTGTTTGGTTTTGGTTTTGTCGTCTGCACAGTATAGTAAAGTCAGCTGGGCACCGGCTTTGAAAGCAAGAACATCATGACGCAATTCAACCCACCAGAAATTTGGAAATAACATATTGTACTGCTTCGCATTCGCACCGGAAGCTCCAAAACAAACATTTCAGAATGTTCGGGTGTCAATCTGAGGATAATGCAGAGGGTTCGGAAAGAGTTGGATGAGTCTAATGGTGATTATGAAGGTGTTCGGAGAGATCATTAGTGGTGGAGACGTTATGTTTGCATTCATCTTCCTACAGGGCCACAGACTAAACACGGAGGCCCACATCAAATGCCCTGAGGAGGTACTGCTTGGTCAAGAGTGTAGCTGCACCATGTCACACAAGCAGGAGAACCAAGTCATGGCTGTCAGACAATTTCTGCAACCACATCACCCCCTTATATCTGACCACCTAACTCGTCATACTGTAAATCCCTTGATTTTTACGTGTGGGGCGTAGTTGAGCGACTGGCCAACAAAACTCATTGTAACACCAAAGATGAACTGAAGGCAATGATTATGGCTGCATTCACTAACTTCAACAAGGTGACCTCAAGGAGAGTTGCAGGAGATTCCGAAGTCGTTTAGAGGCAGTGGTTGAATTCAATGACGATTTTATTGAATAAATTTACTCTTTAGCATTTCAAAATATTTTTGTGTAATTTTGGTAAATATATCTGTTAAAATAAGATGTCTGTCTTATTTACATTTTTGCGTAATTTAGACGACAATTTATTCATCGCGCCCAGTATATCACATTCCTAATAGTAAATGTTTACCATTGAGAATGTAAAGACATAATCAATATGTTACTGCTCAACAGTCACGATCACTAGTCCAGTAGGTCGTAGGAGCATCACATCTACTGCAGCCAAATCAACAGTTGCGTTTTCTAGGCAAGACAGCCTGACGGAGTCGAACAATCTGTAGGCTGGTTTGAAACAGTTTTCCTTCTGCTAGACTAGGCGCCAATCAAGGATATAGGACCAAATATGTTCTGCTAATTATGTATATCTGTGGGGGAGAGATAGATTCATACCTTTTACCAAGAATATTAGCACGTAATTGAATGTAATGAACTCGAATGGAATTCGAACTCAGCTCTCCGATTTCTCAATCCGAGCCACTAATCATTACACCACCGTGCCTCCATAACAATACTTTGAACAACAGTTTAAGAAGGAAGCCTTCATTATTACACGGAAAAGCGATAACAGTGAAAGATGCATTCCAGAAAAAGTGTTTTAACAGAAAGAGTTAATACATTTCAAATGACTGTATGTCCTGTCGGCTGGGGCTTCATAATACGTCGACTGCACCTCTGCACAGGGGGGGGGGGTAAGACCCCCGCTCCCAATGAGCTGCCCTTTGTATGCCGATAAACTACATTCAGCAGCAAGGCCTTTGATCAAGAGTTTTTTTTTTTAGGAATGTGTGACCACTTCTTAATTGTTTGTGTTCCCAGATCCACCCTGACCTGACTTTCATAGTTTTTGTTTGGGGGTTAACTATTTACCCATAGTCGGGACCCTAACAAGTGTTACCACCCCGAGTCAGGGTGGACCTGGGAACGCCAGCAATTAAGAGGTGGTTTCAAAGCTCCTGATCAGAGGCCTTGCTGTTGAACGTAGTTTATCGTCTTACCCAGGACGCGAATGTAGTTTATCGTCATACCCAGGGCGTATATATATATATATATATATATATATAGATAGATAGATAGATAGATAGATAGATAGATAGATATCGATGTGTGTGTGTGTGTGTGTGTGTGTGCGTGTGTGTAACAACACTGTGATTGTAATTCTGGAAAAAATTGTATTCAAGACAAATAGTCTTTGTTAGTAGAATGCCTGATATAAAAACTAGATAGTAATAGTTAAAATTTTATTCCCATAGCTGTTGAATGATTCTAGTCAGAGTTTTATTGAAATATATCTACTATTCAGTAATCAAGTCTGTACAATAAAATCTGCAGAAAACAGGATATGATTCCATGGAACTCAGTGTAGAGACATTCAACAACTAATTTAATATTTAATATTTATATTATTATTATTATAGATTATTAGATAGATAGATAGATAGATAGATAGATAGATAGATAGATAGGCAGGCAGGCAGGCAGGCAGGCTTCGAAAGTAATAACACGCATTTTATTATTGACCCACGATGTCAGAGTACAATTTTGGTGGCATGCTATTAGAGAAGGAAACTTCCAGCCAATACCCCTTTTTTTTTCTATTACAAATTGCAGCTGACCGGCAGTCTTGTAAGATAGATAGATAGATAGATAGATAGATAGATAGATAGATAGATAGATAGATAAGCTCCGAAAATAATAATACGCATTTTATTATGTTGATCCACGATGTCAGACGATAATTCTGAAGGCATGTTATTTGAGGGGGGCGATCTTCACGCCAATCCCCCTTTTCTGCATATTACAAATTGCAGCTGAGCTGCAGTCTTGTAAAATAGATAGATAACGAACAGACTGAGAAAGAAAGAAAGAAAGAAAGAAAGAAAGAAAGATATGAACAGACTGAGATAGATAAACTCCGATATGTTTTTATGTTCACCCACGATGTCAGAAAACAATTTTTGGGGTATCATTAGAGGTGGAAACTTACCACCTATCCGCCTTTTTTGTATTATTACAAATAGCAGATGAGAAAAAGTCTTGTAAAATAACATTTCATATAAATGTTCTTAAGAAGCAAGGGTTTGACATTGAATTCCTTAAAACAAAATGCATCCTTGGCATTTATCGACACTTGCTTACGCAGACTAATTAATCAAGGAAGATGATTATAGTTATACGCTGACTATTGCGTATCAGAAGCGTTGACAGCGTTCCACGTTACGAGTAACTCAGCACAGGCTCATGTATAATGAAGGTGACTTGGTGAAAAAATAGTGTTTTGTTCAGGTACCGCCGCGAATTCGCTAAAAATCAACATACCGTGATGAAAACCTGAGCCAAGCGTAATGAAAACATGCGCCAAGTTTAATGAAGACATGTGCCAAGCGTAATGAAAACATACGCCAAGCGTAATGAAAACATAGTTTTATCGTCAAAATCTTTATGTTATTATTAAGAGGAAGGATAAACGTATTTTTTGAATATTTAATTAAATTTTAGAACGTTCGAAATTTTGATAAAAATCTTGCGTCAGCGGGTGTAGCAAATTTTAGCCTTTTTGCGATGACAGACACATTAATTTGGAAATTCTTGCAAAAATCAAATAATTGTCGGATTTTAATGAAATTTTCACAAATTTTTTAATCATTTTTATTAAAACATATTGGCAAGAATATTTATTAAATAGTAAAACGCAATAAAACTTAGACATTATTTAATCAGAGAATCTTTTAACTGCTTTTAGGAATAATATATATTAAAGACAATATTGTCTGAAGAAAAAAATTTTCAATGAATTTTTACAAGATTTGTAAGCATCGTTCGATAAACTTTGTTATAGATGTTCCTAAGATTTTTCTGATATATAAATATTTATTATCTTTTCATATATATATATATATATATATATATATATATATATAATGATTGTCACTTCATCTCTTCATTTGGTAGCTTTTTTGTGTTTTTCATTCAGAATTTTATTATTTCCAACATTTATACCCGAGCTAACATTCTGCTATGGTCCCGTAAGTGATTCTTTATGATAGCTTCACTCACACACGTGGCAAGCAAAGGTTTGTCTGTGTTACCTATGTTGGAAACTTGCCTATCCCTGTGGACAATCATGTGATATTTGAATGCCGCAACAGACTTACAAACCTTATCACAAAACTCGCACAAGCAACCTGCAAGTTTTTCTGGTTGGGTTCCATTCACGGGTTTTTGCACCTGACCTCTCTGGTGCGATCTCATGTGACTGGCTAAAACAGACACTAAAATGGTGAGTTTTCCACAAATAATGCAAGTGTGTTGGTCCCCTACATATTCAGAGTCCGAGAATAGATGTAAGCGAATCGCCATAACAGCGTGCTGGTACTGTAAGACTGAGAGAAAAAATCTGTTATCCTCGCTTTCACAATAATACCTTTGTGAAAGGAATCCATCTCCTCTGTCGAACCTCAACTAGGGATTAAATAGCAAAATAGATTATGTCTCTGGCTTTCCTGCCAGCAAGTCTAAAAGAAGAAAAAAAAACGAAAAAGAAATTCCAAACTGTGAAGAAGGCAACGAGGAAAGACCCCATTTTCTTTCGCAAGGTGGCGAAATTAAAAAAATAATAAATACAAGGAAGATGTAGAGAGCCATGAACACCTACGTTCTGAAGGCGCATACGTTAAAAATAGTTTGTTCTCTGCACTCTGCTAAGCAAAGTAACTATATTTGAAGACAGAAGGAAAATAGCAGCCGATGGAAAATATGACAGAAAAATCCGAAGTGTTATTTACGAGGGATGTCATGAAAAAAACAGGAAATATTCGTTAGAAACAAAGAAAAGACTAATAAACCTCTTTTTATAAGACAGTGAATGCATGACAATTTTCTCACAAATGAATAAGAAGACAACAAAGATATGGATCTACAGAAGGATACCGAGGATACTATGGACTGAACATATGAGCAACGAGGATATTTTAATGAAAATAGAACGAAAATGACACGCATGCTTAAGATCAGAAACATTCATTGATTGATTGATTTTTATGACTGATCGAACCTTCGCAGGTTATTTAAAGCCATAATTATTTTTTTTAGATAGTAAGAATTTTTGGAGATAATAATGATTTAGTGATAGAAGTTCTACTAATTAACCCATAGCTGTGGAGAGAACGGGTGGATTCATATGTTTCCCAAGGTTATTTGCTCGTAAGTGAATATAACGAAGCCAACTGGAAATTGAAGTCAAATCTCCTTGACACCAACCACACATATCCAAGTCTACAGCACCTGATATTCCCAAGCGATCACCAATCTAAGCACTGATCAGGTTTGGCGTTGCTTAACTTCGATCATCGTATGAGGACCAGTGTTTGAACGTGATATGGCCGTAAATCAAGATCAGAAAGAGAAAAATGAAATTTCTGGGACACAAAATGAGGGAAAAGGGGGCTTGAATCTCATAGGAGATTTGGAAGGCAACATGGTCAAAGAGAAGCAGCTTGTAATCTACCAAATGAGCTTGTGTAAATGAATTGCAGATCATGAACTCGACGGTACAGTAAGGAGGCTAAATTTTCTCAGAGCAATTATAACGAGAAATGATCGGCCACATCCTGAAGTGATATGGTACATAGAAGAGTTCCCTTTAAAGGTGAATACTTGAACATTGGCTAACACCTGATGTTAGCGGTATATATTAGGGTGATCAGAAAGTCCTGACTCATTGCGGAAGCACAAAGAAAACGACAAAATTTTATACAGCAACATCAACATTTATTCTTCAAAATAAAGTCCACCATTCTCGACAATCTTCTGCCAGTGATCAGTCAGCATCCGAATCTGTCTCAGATACCCAGTCCGCTGGCTTTGAATAATAAAAAAAAACTGTAGACAAGCTTCCTTTTTTATTTGCTTTGATTTTTCAGTTCGGTACGCATTTTCTCCTGGTTCTGTTTCTGTTATATAGGAATAAAGTGTCGCTGCTTACACTTAAGTTCGAACATAGATCGTCGGTAAGTAAACACAGGCGATCCCATTATTGAATTAAGCAGACCACGTGACCATAGAGGAAACGCATATATGGGAGGTAGCATGTGTCTAATTGTTCGCTATTCCTAGTCTATCCTCTATACTATACGGATCTCTATTTCTACTCTATCCTCTATTGCTATACTGAACGTTATTCTCTACTCTATTTACTATACTATTTCTCTATACGGATCACTATACGGATTACTATTCGAGCGAGTATTATCGAGCAGATGTGATTCAAAGGCGTCTGATACCAGCATTGTTCAACGGTGCACTATAGTTGTATCTGCGATTATAAAGTCTCTACTACAACGAGCATTACGAAAGTGACGACGAGTATTCGATGGCATCACTAAAGTGGCAACGAGTGTTCGTTGACATCACAAAAAATTCGTTTACACGCATTTCCCGAAGATATGTTATTTGGTTACAGAGTGCAGATTTTTGGCACAATAGTGTTTCAGAACCAATCTTAATATAAAGTCATTTGTTTACTGAAAGTAAGCAAAAAAAAAAACATGGTTAAAGATTACACTGGGAGTTGCAGTTGAATAGATCCCTAACCACTTTCTCTTCTTGCAAGGTAAATCGGTCAATGTCTGATTTGGGGTGATGCATTGTAAGAATCTTTCACAATTTGGCATCAACTTTGTTTATCTTGGAGATGGACCCATTAATAATATTGAAGCTGTATGGGATTGTAGATATGCCTAGTGAGTTTATTCTTGAATTTTATTATTATTGTTATATTCTTCTTCTTTTAAATTTCTGGGCTTACGGCCAGATCACGTTAAAACAACGGTTCCTATACGACCATCGAAGTTAAGCAACAGCGAGTCTGGTCAGTACATAGATGAATGACCGCTTAAAAATAGCAGTTGCTGTAAGCTTGGATATGCGAGAGGTGTAATTGATAATGGCTCGGAATTGTTAATCGTAGAACCGAGTTCCAATTCCAGTTGGGTTCGTTATATTCATATACGAACAGATACCCTTTGGAAAGATATGAATCCACCTCTTCTCTCCTAGCTATGGGTTAATTAGTAAGACATGTATCACTAAACCATTGTTATCTTTAAAAAATCTTACTATCTAAAAATATTTTCTGGTTTTAAATAACCTGCAAAGGGTTGATAAGCCGTAAAAAACGAATCAATCAATCAATTCTTTTGCTTTCCTTTTATCACGATTAGTAACTAGATTATTACTGTGGATCCAGAGTAAAGTAATATAGTAATTTTATGTTTTTTGTTTGTAAAAATTCTGATATTAAAGTGATATTTAACATATACACTGTTAATATTTTCTTGGTCTTGATAACAGAGTAAAGAAGCAGTTCCACACAGTGTTGGCATCCTACCAGATCAAACCGGTTCCCGCGAACCGATTTTTAAAATTATAAAAGCTTAGCGAAGCGGTTGTTGGATTATCCGAAAATAATCTTATATATTAATAGCCGATACGTAATAGGTAAAAATATAATTAATACCATTGTTGTAAGTTCTGAGGATGCTGAAAGAGGGTTTTCTGTGTTCATCATAATTTATTCTGACAAAAGATATCTTACTTGCATTATTTACATTATTCGGACTGTTATCCTCATCTTCATTGCCATATTAACAACGCTTCGGTCGTTGTACGTTCCGGCCTTCTTCAGGTGATTGGAATTTCGAACCGAACCCTTTATTTCGTCCACCGGGGTAAATTGTTCCGGATGTCTCAGCTATTTCCTCAAGGACACATGGACTAGTGGATAAAGACGTTAGTTAGATCCAGTTGTGAGATCAACACCAGGCCACAGAAGTGGCGAACCAAAAACCTGGTGAGTTGAGTTAACGGGAAATAACTGAGACATCCATAAGAGGCATGGCACGTGGAACTAGAACAATCTACCCCGGTGGATGAAATAAAGGGTTCGATTCGAAATTCCAATCACCTGAAGAAGACCGGAGCGTACAACGGCCGAAACGTTGGGAATATGGTACTGAAGATGGGAATAACAGTCCGAATAATGTAAATAATGCAAGTAACCATAATACCTCATCTCAGAGATATAGAAAGATAAAATATATTTTCTTAAAGTTAAAAATGTGGTAAGTCTTCTAGTCATAAATGTGATAGGTCTTCCATTGAATCATTGTGACTGCAGCGATTCAGTTCGATATGTTGCTAAGAAACCATAAACACAGCTGATGACACTAGAATCAAAAAGCACCATACTTCTGAACAGAAATATGATGAGAATAGAATTACGGTCTGGAAATAGTTTAATAAATAAATGTTTTCTGTTAAATAATCAAAATGATTTCATTTTTTTTTTAATACTATAAAGTGATTTGTTTCGATTCTCAGATTGAGAAGAAAATAAGCAGAATAGGTTCCTAAATCTTACCTGCCTTTATAGAACCGGTTCCTGGAAATTTGTGGTGTGTTTATTGGTTACAAACGGTCCATTTTTAAATCTCTTGCAAATAAGGGCTACAAGATATTTGACAATGTTATTATCTATACGTTTTTATCGTACCCTGTGCTCCAGGTATTATAGGTATAGCAGTAATTTCAAGGTGACATATTTTTTCCGTTTCAAGATTCTTATATTTACCTATTTTGTCATAATCTTTAAAACATATCTACGAGAAGGCATTTTTTAATTAAAATATATGGGTTATTATATTTTATATGTCTTTATTATTATTATTATTATTATTATTATTATTATTTCTTTTGATTTCTGTTGTATACATATTTCCTTCCGGGTCCCAACCAGAGACCTAAAGTCAGAAATGGCTTCGTGATATTTTCCATTATTCATTTTTTTTTTTTTTTTTAAAAAAGGGAAAAAACTGAGATCATACACATTATACAAAGATAAAGCTCTTTGTAATGTTTGAGCTGTACTTGTGAGTACAATTTTTTGTATTTCTTTAAGGCATAGACTACCATGGATCCCTTCAATTAGTCTATCTGGCCCTTTTCCTATCAATCCGAGGGCCCAACTACAACTGAAATTACTGGTGTACTCAACTGACATATTTTTGTTTTTATTATTATTATTACTATTATTATTATTATTGTCATTTATTCCTCGGATTTCTGTTCTATACGCATTTCCTTCCGGGTCCCAACCAGTGACCTCAGGTTAGAAATGGCTTCATTACATTTTCCAATGATCATTTTTGTAAAAAAAAAAAAACTATGATCACCCTCATTTTACATAAAGCTCTTGTTTTTGTTTTGTTTTTTTTTAAGATCTTCAAAGATGCATTACAATCTGCAGAGACTGCCATGTCGATAAGAAATCACATTCCATTTTTGTCGTTTTTGATCACGATATCTGGGCGATTAGTTTTGTTTGTTTTGTCTGTGTGTATTATTATTATTTTTATTTTCTTTGATTTCTGGCGTTTACACATTTCTTTCCGGGTCCCGCCCAGGGACCTAAGGTTAGAAATGGCGTCGTGACACTTTCCACTGACAAAAAGCAAAAAAAAGTAAAGTGTGGGCTGTACTTGACAGAACAATTTTTTGTATCTTTTTGAGGCATGGACTTCCAGGAATCCCTTCAATTACTCTACTGGAATCTTTTCCAACTAATCCTAGGCCTCCAACTAAAACAGGGATTGTTGATGTTCCCATGTGCCACATTTTTGAGATTTCTATTTCAAGGTCCTTGTATTTTGACAGCTTTTTGAATATCTTCAAAGATACATTGCAGTATTATTATTATTATTATTATTATTATTATTATTCAGCTAGCCCCTCTTGGGTACAGTTTTAAAATAAATGAGATAATATATTTTTTTAAAGTTAATGAAAGTGTATGTAAGTTAAGAGTAAGTACTTAACATCTCTTATTAATATAAGTTGAAATATAATCTATAAAATCTGTATCTGTCAAAATGATAAATTTGCAGATTTAAAGGATTTAATGATTTGCATTCTCTTATTTATATTTCCTAATTTTATCGTTGATTCCGGCAGCGTGTTTAATTACATCTGAGAAATTGCCTACAGGTTGTGGGGGTCACATTCGCATTCTGTAACTCAGCTTAACCAAGTATAAAATGCGTAATGGGCTAAATTCCTAGAAGACGTACCAGATTCCCAACAGACTGATTATTATACTTCCGTTTGATAGTTTAAGAACGCCTTGGACTTCAAAAGTATGTCTACCTTTAGCTTAATAACAAAGAATGGCGTAGCAAGCGCACGCAGCTTGTGTTTCTGACTGGAGGCGAATACATTAGACCTAAATTACTACTAACCTATATTTATTTCTAAATGTTTAGAAAGCGATTGTTAGTGATGTCGATATCCAATAATTAGCTAATTAACAATGATATCGATAATGCGAAATTA